ATAGTTCACGAAAATAATAATTTTCGTGAACTATTATTACTTAAGTATGTAAAAATTTATTACATTTCCTGTTGTACGAGGGTTTTACCCAATTCTTGAACCGTGTCAGAGTGAATCCGTGCTATAAAAGTACCGTGTTATACGGGGGATGGTACCAATTCTCGAACCATGTTAGAGTGAATCCGTGCTATAGAAGTGCCGTGTTATACGGGGGTTATTTACTGTATTTACTGTAGTGTGTTGTGAAAATACACTTTGATTTAACCAATTTCATTGGGAAGTAAAAGATAGTATAAAACTTTTATACTTAAAGCACTCTTTTTATTGGTTTGTTTTTGTGAAATCTAACAGCTTTATTTTTTAATAAAAAGTAAAATACATCTGGATACGAGTCCAATTTTGCTTGCCATGTCCAGATGTATTTTACTTTTTATATTAAATAGTAATTCTGCCAGCCCTTTTCTACAAAGAAATATTATATTTTTAATTGTGTTGGGATTGTCACCTGTGGACATTTTAAACTGTTTTGCATATTTGTGCAGAGGCATAGCCTCTAAAGAAAAATTGTCTCTGCAATGGAAATAGTTGTTCCTGGTGATTGGACATGGCAAGTAAAATTGGACTCGTATCCAGATGTATTTTACTTTTTATTAAAAAATAAAGCTGTTAGATTTCACAAAAACAAACCAATAAAAAGAGTGCTTTAAGTATAAAAGTTTTATACTATCTTTTACTTCCCAATGAAATTGGTTAAATCAAAGTGTATTTTCACAACACACTACAGTAAATACAGTAAATAACCCCCGTATAACACGGCACTTCTATAGCACGGATTCACTCTAACATGGTTCGAGAATTGGTACCATCCCCCGTATAACACGGTACTTTTATAGCACGGATTCACTCTGACACGGTTCAAGAATTGGGTAAAACCCTCGTACAACAGGAAATGTAATAAATTTTTACATACTTAAGTAATAATAGTTCACGAAAATNCCTTCTTTTTTGGTATATGTACACATGTACTGTACCTGTACATATACCAAAAAAGTTGTAAAATTGGTATTAACAAATATTACAGATATAATATGTTCCCACATTATAAAAACAATAAACAATTATATTTTTAAAAGAAAAAAATAGAAAATATTACCTTTGGATAATGCAGACGTTGAAGCTGTGGATATATATTGCTAGGGTCTCCATAATCACCATACCAATTATAGTATAATGTTCCAACTTTGCTATCATTAAATGAGGCAAAGCAAATAGAAGATCCATCTGGTGACCACCATATTGCAGAATTACTGCCTAGGATTTCCTCTACATAAAAAAATTTTACATAAAATTTATGAACATTGTGATAATATATTAATTAAATTAATATTAAAAAAACATATTTGGTTTTTTAATATTATTTACTAATAATACTAAAAAACTTGTACTAGTAATAATATTATTTACTAGCTGTCACCCACAGCTTTGCCCGCACAGATTTTGCAAGCAAACCCCATTTATATTCAGTATTTCAACAACCATAGTAACTATTATAACACCTACTGCTGAGAATGATGAGAATTGCCAAGAATCAAATGAACTATTTTCAATTTGATCAATTTTCTGGAACGTTTACAATCGTTCTATAATCGAACCAATATGCAATAACAAATTCGAATTTAAAATGGTTCGAACATTTTTAAAATCGAAATACATAAAAATATTTATAACAATGTCTGAAATGTTATCAATTTAATACATCTAAGTACTCAATGAAAATTAAATGTAGTTGAAAAAGAATAATCACATCGAAAATAGTACAGTAGAAGCTGTTTTTCCAGTTAAGCTTTAATCCTCTCACTCTCTCCCCGCGAGGGAATTTTGAAAAATCCCTTCTTAGTGTGCATTTTTATGACGTACCCTAACTGTGTACCAAATTTCACCTCTTTAGGTTCAGCAGTTTGCTCTGGGCAATGATGAATCAGTCATTCAGTCAGTCAGTTAGTCAGGACAAGTAATTTTATATATTTAAGTTATTATTAGTAAAGTAATAAAAAAAAAAACAAAAAAATATCTCTTTCATAATTTCTCTTATATTAAAAACATGATACATCTAAAAAATATTTTAAATACTTTATATAGATTAAATTTTATTAATTCTATATTTAAAGTTGAAGTTATTTTAAACATTATCAGTACTGTATATCCATTTCAGATCACTGCTTACTTGCCTCATAATACTCAGTTTTTTTAAAATCCATTAACAAAAGTAGAATATGTTAGAATTATATTTAAAAAATTAATATAATTAATCATTTTCTTAGTTTAATTATTTTTAATAAATGTTAAAATAAATATTTTTTTCAAATAGAGTAAAGTCCCGAGAGTAAATTTACAATGCAGGGGATTCATTACCCATTATAAGAAATCACATTATTGAAACCTGCATTATCACACAATTTATGAAAGTTTAAACCTTGGCCTATAAGTTGAAAAAAAGATGTTTACCTATGATTGACATAATTTGAGGGTATTGCTTGCTTTATTTGTATGTTGTACTGGATTCTACTGTATATGAGAAAGGATCTTGAATTTAAATTTATTCATGCTATTTTAATTAAGAATATTCAAATATCTTATATATGAATATTTTTAAACAATTTAGTTAAATATTTTTCTTCAAATTTTTCACTTAACAATTATTTTTAAAATAATTGTTAAATTAATAAATGTTATTTTGAAAATAAAGAATAATAGCCAGGTTTATCTTTAATACTTTTTAAACTTAATTTAATAAATACATCATTAATCAAACTAAACTAAAACCAAATGATTAATTGCTGTATTTTAGAGTTAATTTTTTAAGATGTATAAATAATAAAGATTTATTTAATTAAAATCAGATAGAATCATACAACAAATTTTTGTTCTAATTTCTTAAATTATTATGAAATATTCAATTCCAGATATTTCTATTTGCTACTTCATTTACAGACTATTAAACTCCATATAATTTAAAATAAGTCTAATAAAATTTTACAGTCATTGCTGCTAGCCTCTATAAGAGATAAGCATAATCATGTATAGTTTTTTTTTTAAATAAATGCAATGAAGTATTTTTCTAAGTAAGGTTTATTAAAAATAGAATTTAAATTATATCACTGTTACAAAATCAATAGCTGTCATATTAATTATGTTTGATTAATAAACTAGTAAATCTAATTTTAAAAAATTAAAAGAGAGATTAAATGTTAAATAACATAAATATATACATACATATATATAATAGTGAAGTCACTCTTTACATATAACAATATATATATATACAGGGGTACCTCGGTATACGTCTGCTTTATAATACGTTCAATTCGGAATACATCCTGTTTGGACGAAACAAATTTTGCTTGGTATATGACTTTTGTTCAGTATACGACTTAATTCAATTATACATGCCATCTATGAACAAGTAGCACTATCGGTGTACTAGACCANTGCTCTGGGCAATGATGAATCAGTCATTCAGTCAGTCAGTTAGTCAGGACAAGTAATTTTATATATTTAAGTTATTATTAGTAAAGTAATAAAAAAAAAAACAAAAAAATATCTCTTTCATAATTTCTCTTATATTAAAAACATGATACATCTAAAAAATATTTTAAATACTTTATATAGATTAAATTTTATTAATTCTATATTTAAAGTTGAAGTTATTTTAAACATTATCAGTACTGTATATCCATTTCAGATCACTGCTTACTTGCCTCATAATACTCAGTTTTTTTAAAATCCATTAACAAAAGTAGAATATGTTAGAATTATATTTAAAAAATTAATATAATTAATCATTTTCTTAGTTTAATTATTTTTAATAAATGTTAAAATAAATATTTTTTTCAAATAGAGTAAAGTCCCGAGAGTAAATTTACAATGCAGGGGATTCATTACCCATTATAAGAAATCACATTATTGAAACCTGCATTATCACACAATTTATGAAAGTTTAAACCTTGGCCTATAAGTTGAAAAAAAGATGTTTACCTATGATTGACATAATTTGAGGGTATTGCTTGCTTTATTTGTATGTTGTACTGGATTCTACTGTATATGAGAAAGGATCTTGAATTTAAATTTATTCATGCTATTTTAATTAAGAATATTCAAATATCTTATATATGAATATTTTTAAACAATTTAGTTAAATATTTTTCTTCAAATTTTTCACTTAACAATTATTTTTAAAATAATTGTTAAATTAATAAATGTTATTTTGAAAATAAAGAATAATAGCCAGGTTTATCTTTAATACTTTTTAAACTTAATTTAATAAATACATCATTAATCAAACTAAACTAAAACCAAATGATTAATTGCTGTATTTTAGAGTTAATTTTTTAAGATGTATAAATAATAAAGATTTATTTAATTAAAATCAGATAGAATCATACAACAAATTTTTGTTCTAATTTCTTAAATTATTATGAAATATTCAATTCCAGATATTTCTATTTGCTACTTCATTTACAGACTATTAAACTCCATATAATTTAAAATAAGTCTAATAAAATTTTACAGTCATTGCTGCTAGCCTCTATAAGAGATAAGCATAATCATGTATAGTTTTTTTTTTAAATAAATGCAATGAAGTATTTTTCTAAGTAAGGTTTATTAAAAATAGAATTTAAATTATATCACTGTTACAAAATCAATAGCTGTCATATTAATTATGTTTGATTAATAAACTAGTAAATCTAATTTTAAAAAATTAAAAGAGAGATTAAATGTTAAATAACATAAATATATACATACATATATATAATAGTGAAGTCACTCTTTACATATAACAATATATATATATACAGGGGTACCTCGGTATACGTCTGCTTTATAATACGTTCAATTCGGAATACATCCTGTTTGGACGAAACAAATTTTGCTTGGTATATGACTTTTGTTCAGTATACGACTTAATTCAATTATACATGCCATCTATGAACAAGTAGCACTATCAGTGTACTAGACCAGACTAGACGTTCGCTGTGCCACAGTTTATAACTTTGTTAAATTTCTTTTAATTTGTAAGTAAAATGTTATTATTTTTATTAATCATGAATTGCAAAAAGGCAACAGAAAAATAAAAAAGTGACTAAAATCACAATGGAACTGAAAAAAGAGATAGTTGAGAAATATGACGGTGGCATGCATGTTCAAGATTTAACTGTTGCATACTGTATTCCGAGAATGACGATATCAACAATCGTGGAAAATAAAGACATTATTAAATCTGCTAACGTTGCAAAAGGAGTTAAATCAATTTTTAAACATAGATCGAAGACATTAGATCATGTTGAGAAATTGCTTTTGCTTTGGAATACTGAAAAACAGTGTGCTGGCGACAGCATATCAGAAGCAATTATTTGTGAGAAAGCTAAAAAGATGCATGCTGATCTCATGAAAAATCAAGCAGGAACTAGCCAAGAAAGCGAGGTGTTTAAAGCCAGATATTTTTTTTTACATGAGAACGGATTAATCATTTTTTCATTACTTCTTACGGGAAAGGTTGGTTCGGTATACGTCCTATTCAGTATAAATCCAAACACCAGGAACAAATTAAGGTCGTATACCGAGGTTCCACTGTATATATATATATATATATATATATATACAGTGGGTGATCAGTTAACGAACAGCTCGGATAACAAACACTTTCATGAAAGATTTTTATGTTCAAACAATAAACACATGATCGGATAACGAACACCCCATAGAACAAATACAAGAAGAAGCGATGTAAAATAATGAATACCGATTGGTCTTCCCTTGTCTTCGGGCAACAATTCAAAACCTTTCGGAGTGTGGGAGACGTCGACATCGATGCTCAAGCTGATATATACCGATTGAATAGTATTCCTCCGAACTTTCAAACTCTCCCTTGTAATTCCAGCCTTTTATTTTTCTGACAAAATAATTCTTTTTTGTATTCGCGAGACTGTCGAGTAGGCACTCGTTAAGTTTTGTGTCTGTTTTTCTTTTTGAAAGGTCAGAGTATAATAGCAAAGGTAGAGAGTGGGCAAAAGATGCCTAATGTTTCTGGGCAGTATGGCTTGAACAGGTCTACAGTAGGCCGTAGTTAAATCTTATCTAAGAAAGATACTGTATTATCAAGAAGACTCAAGCAGCTAAAGGAGTAACAAAAATCACATCTGAGATATAAAGAACATCGAAGAGTTCATAATGGAATCCGAAACGGATCTGACGACAGAAGAACGCCAAGAACTCTTGAATGAAGAACACCAAGAAACTCGGCGAGATATGTTTTCTTCTGAAAA